TCGGTGGGAATCCCCTAGGACCCTGCAATTAGGCTCCAGGTCATCTTGGGGCCAGGGCTGGGTGTTGGTAAGCTTTGCCCTGGAGCAGCTGTTGCTGTATTATTCATGGGGCCATCTGCATTGTTGATGGTGCAGGGAAAGCCTTACTTCAGGATCCTTGAGACAGCCCTTGAAGCCGGGGCTGAGGGCCCCTCATTGAGAGACCTGACGCGCTGGGACAACTGACAGCATCATGTAGATTGAGGGCTGCCTTTCTTTGCTTGTGGCCCATCTCCCCGAGTCAGGGTGCGAGGACTATGGTCCGTTCGCTCCGAGGATGCCCAGGGCACCCCTGTTGAGAGACTCGGCGTGCTTTCTGTTGTGTGTGTGCGTCTTGCCCTCTAGGAGGAAAGTCCTGAGGGATAGGGGAAAACTTGAGGTTTATTTGGCAGTTTCCAGGAGACTGTGGAATGGAGGGTGGGCCAGGTGTCATGGCACATCCTTTCTATCGGACCACGTTCTAGAGGAAAGGGATGGAAGGAAACAAAAAGCCAGTGTGCTTATCCGTGGCAATGTCAGCCCACTTAATTCTCCCACCAGCCTCAGGACACTTTGGTGCTGTCGGCCCTTTGGCGGGGGGAGGGGGGGTCACTGAGAAGTCGGGGTACTCAGCAGAGCAGGGCTGGGGTGAGGCAGGACTGAATGAAGCACGTGGGGCTCGAAGCAACCCAGCCCAGCCCCTTGCTTGCTAATCTTTTCCACCCAGGTGGATAATTTGTATTTTTACAACTACTTCATAATGAATGACCACATCTTGTCAAGTGAGCATCTGGGAAAAACCAGGCTGACCTGGTTCGGTTTGCATATATGCAAGCGTCTGGACCCTGGCTACCATTCCAGGCCCGTCCACACCTCCCCTGCGACACGAATACAAACGCTGCTCCGCATCCTTAGGCCTTCTTGCCCTCCACGTGCTGGGCAGCCATTCTGACCTTCTGCTTTTCCCAAGGAAGCCATCACACACCTGTTGCCCCTGCTTGCTCCTTGCCGTGAGGGTTAAATGGGGGTGATGCACGTGGAGTGTTGAGCGTGGTGGCGGGTACGTGCTAAGTGTGACGCAAATGTTTCTCCATTTTTCTTTCTCAGCTCTCGTTTTCTCTTGCCCACTTGTCTTCTTTCCTCTCAATCCATTGTCTCGGCCACGGTGGCCTCTAGCCTTAATGCCAAGGCAGACAACCTCCAAGGTCTGGACCTCACCCTTCACTTTGCTCCTCTAGGACCTCATCCCGATTCCTAGTACATTGAACCTCTTTCTTTCCACTGGTTCCTTCTCTTCTGTTTTCAACTAAAGACCTTCTCTTTGATTTCCTGTCTCCTGGAGCTTCAGACCTTGGTGTCAACCTCCACTCATTCCCTGTGCCTCCAGCAAAGCCTCAAATACCACCTTGTCTTCCTTTAAGGTGCCTGTTTCATCCCCTCCGCCCCTCCCCCACTCTTACCAGTCTACTCTGGGCCCTTATTAACCAGGCAGCAGCTCTCAAATGGGGGTCTGGGGTTCCCACAGGGGTCCCTAAGACCCTCTCAGGGGGACCACGAGGTGGAATCTGACATGTCCTTTGCCTTCGTCACTTCCATTCTCCTGTGGGGGTGCCGTGGACTTTTCCAGAGGTCACGTGCCATGTGATAACATCATTGCCCTGATGACCAAGGGAGTTTGTGCTAATGGCAGTGTCTTGTTTTAAAATTTTCTGTTTGCATTCCAAAATGGGAAATAGTGAAAGATATAATCTACACATGCAAAAACTCTTTGAGGCTCTCAGTAATTCTTTTTAGAAGTTTATTCATTTATTTTTGAGAGCGAGAGAGTGAGCATGGGAGTGGCAGAGAGAGAGGGAGAGAGAGAGAATCCCAAGGAGGCACCTTGCTGCCAGCCCAGAGCCCGGTGCGGGGCTCTGATTCGCAAACGGTGAGATCATGACCTGAGCCAAAACCAAGGGTCGGATGCTCAATCGACTGAGCCCCCTCGGTAATTTTTAGGAGTAAAAAGGAGTTCTGAGACCAAAAAGGTTGAGAACGTTGGCATCGAGCCTGGTGGCCTCCACGCGTCCACGCGTGAATGAGGAGAAGAAGTCCCGTCTGGGTGCACGGAGCCTCACGCCAGGTGCTGGGTCTCATCAAGGTGTGCAGACTGGATTTAATCTCCCATTCATCCCTTTATCCTTTTGCTTGGGTGCTTTGAGAAGTGCACGGACTCCCTGACTACACGGTGACCCCATGTTTGGAAAACGCCCCAACCAGTGTGCCACCCCAGCTCTCCTCTTCCCCGGTTTATCCTGCACAGACCGGCTTTGTTCCCATCACTTCCAGCTCCAAGGGTCTCACTGGTTCCCACTGCCCCCTGGATGAATTCCAGACTTCTCGATGTTCAGTGTGGCAGCGAGAGTCCTGCACCATCTG